GGCCAGAATTTAAACTTGGCATGCCAAGCATTTTGTATTGATAACTGCTATGCTATGTGCACATCCATTTGTTGCAGATAAAAATGATTAAAGTGTTCTCATGCGTCAAAGCAAGCATCTATGTTTGTGAAAGAAGGAAATTCCTACAGATTACTTATTTAAGAAGCACCTTTTTATTTTTAAGTTTGTCACACTCCAGCTCCCAGTGGTTACTCAATTTGCTGAATTTTGCATCTAAACTGAAGGATGTGCAGGTGGTGTAAGGGATAGTGGCTCAGAATGAGAAATCAGAGAGCCAAGTTCAAATTCCAGTCAAGTTTGTTGAATTCGCTTACATGCAAATACCTGTAGGAAATGTATGAATCCATCTCTCCTCCTACCTATGGGTTAAATAGTAGGATTGTATCTGAAAAAAAAAATCAATGTTCTCTTCATGCATTTTCTCTCACAAAAAAATAATTCTTTGAATCTAAAATATGTTTCAGCTTTAAATAACCCACAAAGGGTTGATAAGCTATACAAATCAAATCAATAAAAAACAACTAAACTAAAACTATAATTTGTTTTTTCTACAAAATTCTCAAGTTTTGCAAAAATTAAAAATTCCCTCCCATAAGTTTCATTAACAAAGTTCTGGCCTCTAATAGGAAAAAAATAATGAAATTCGGACTAATGTTCTCATTTTTGTGGTTACTTTTACAATGTTTCAGCCATTGTGCCCTCTGGCCTTCTTCAGGTATCTCTCATTTTAGGTAAACAAGGCTGGTAATAACTGAGCAGTACTAAAATATAACAAGATGAGATATTCCTAGGCATTGATGGAATGAGAACAATCTAACCCATAGATTAAGTAAAAGATTCAGTTTGAAATTCTCTCAAAGATATTCAGATTGACAGATACCTGAAGAAGGCTCAAAGACAAAATGACTGAAATGTTGTGATAATAACAAAAAGGTGAGGATATTAATTTGAATATAAATAATGTAAATAATGATAATTTCTTACCCTTAGGGCAAAATAACAAAGTTAATTCTGAAGTTTAATAATTTTTTTATATTATTTCTATCATTATCACAGTGTCCAAAATTTGTCATCCAAAATTCCTGCTTAACTGATGTTTGCCATTATGTTGGTATATATGTTAATGTTCCTTTGAATAATTTCTATCATCGATTCATTTGACTTGATTTTTGGAGGTTCTCAATTAGGTTTCTTCCGAGAGTGTTTGTGTCTGCATTGAACATTTAAATTATAGGCAAATCTGGTTGTTGTTAAGCAACTAAAATAGAAAAAAAAAATTGAGGTAAAAATAGTTGTAATGTTCTCACATTTGACATGCAACAAATTTATCTTGGAATTTAGCTGCTTCTGTTTAATTGGTGGAATTGGAGTTTGTTAGTGTTTTTTTTAATGTTCTATGCAGTAAACTTGTTTAGTGTTGAAAGTCTTGCAGACGAGTTGACTAGCAGGTAAGGAGCATATATTCTTGATACAGACAGCCATGTGAACATTAACTTTGTAATTTCTTGCCAGATGAAATATTGATTTGTATTTTCTCCACTTCTATGATACTTCAATGTTGTACATTAGATACGCATAACTGAACTGATTTGGCTTTACTATGAATCAAAGATACTTTATAATTATATTACACACAAGGTTATATTATATGTAATAATTATCTCTATATTTATCTATGTCATTCTCTTCATATCTGTCAGTTTTCTCATATCTATCTATATCAGTCTTTTCATTTTATATCTCAGTCATTTCATATCTGCCATTCTCTTCATATCTAAGTCTTTTCATATATATCTCAGTCTTTTCATATATATCTCAGTCTTTTCATATATATCTCAGTCTTTTCATATATATCTCAGTCTTTATATATATATATCAGTCTTTTCATATCTATCTATATCTATCTATCTATCTATCTATCTATCTATCTATCTATCTATCTCAGTCATTTCATATTTATCCTGTTTAGTTTTGTTCTGAGTATTAAACTTAGTTTGATTGTATTTATTTATATCTCCCTATATAGGGTGTGTGTGTGTGTGTATATATATACACACACACACACACACACACACACACACACACACACACACACACACCTTGGTCTCTTCATGTATATAACTTTCGAAGATGTTTATCTATCTCAACAGTTGAGCCATTAAGAAATTGCTTGTAAATTTTAACACCTCAGAATGAAACTACTGTCTTTTAGGCATCATAGAGAACCATTTTTACCTTTCATCAGCATGGCTGATGCTAAGCTCCAGGAGAGCAACTCATTGTACCTTCTTGGTCTCAAATTTTTCACTGACATAGAGCAATGAGTATATTGAATCAATTACTCATTCTGTTGCTAGAATATATATACATATATATATATATATATTTATATATAATACATAATAAAAATATAATTTTAAAATATGATCTATTTATGGATTAAGTTTCAATATCAGAGACATATATGTAAATATAAAATGGATATTGAGTTCAACACAGAGCAGCAGCAACAGTTTGTTTCATGCTTAAACACAATCTTCAGGCCTAAAGATTTCATTTAAGCATTAAACTGATTGTTGCTGCTGGGTGTTGTTGACTTCAATGTTCACTTTTATATTTAAAGGAAAAAAATCAATCTTGTATCAAAGAAAACATGCATAAATTATTTTTTAACTCAATATAAAAGTGACAAAAAATGAGAAAATAAACAGTCAATTGCTGAGGAGTGGATGGATCGATTGCTGGAGGTTCTGTCAACAAAACTGTAGAGTCAGAATGCTGAAAATAACATCAATCAGCTAAGTGGCAATTTATATTTGTATTAATCCTGTAAGAAGAAGTGTTGGACAAAAAAGGTCATTTTAAAAGAATATCTTCCATCATTTTCAAAGCCATATTCATGATGTTTCGGCTATTATACATCCAGCCTTTATCGTGTGATTGAAATTTCGAACTGAACTCTTTATTTTATCCACCATAGATTGTTCAGGTTCTACATGCCATACCTCTTCTGGATGTCTCAGTTATCTCCCTTTGACTTAACTCTCCAATTTTTTGTTCTCTACTGCAGTAGCTAGGTACTGAACTCATAATTTCAAGTCACTGGATCAAACCAACACTTTTATCCACTGGCCCATGTGTCCTTGAGGACATCAGTGTATGAATTTTTAGGACTCATAAACTTAATGTCTCAGTAATTATTTTTTACCAGATTGCAATTTTGTTGTTATTATTGGTTTTCTCTAGCACTCTGTATTACTGGTTCCCATATTGTATTCATTTCTATGCTTGGCTGGCTTAGAAAATTTTTGTGGCCTGGCATATGTGCTGATTCCTTAAGTTTTCATATTATTTCAACCTCATCCCACAGGGGGTGGTGATCTCCTTTTTCCCTCCATACTTGGAGAGTTGGGTTAAAGGGAGATAGCAGATATCTGGAAGAGGCATGGCACGTGGAACTAAAACAATCTACCCTGGTGGATGAAATAAAGTGTTCAGTTCAAAATTCCAATCACATGAAGAAGGCTGGAGTGTACAACAGCCAAAACATGAATTTCATAATAAAAATGAGGACAGCAGTCCAAACAATTTAAATAATGTAAATAATTATAATACCTCATTTCAGGAATATTTTATATATATTATTTATATATTATATAGACAAAGTACTTATTGGAAAGTGCTCAATGTCAGTGATAGAGCTAACATATTTAGTTGGATTGATGTGAGTTTGTGACCGTGGGTTTGCGTTTGTCAGACAAACTGATTAATTTTGAAATTTTGGATTTATTTATGGTTGCATATATTGGTGTTTTATAGCAGTGGGAGGAAAGATTGTCGTCGTTTGCCACTCATATGTATGCAGACACACATACGTACATGTTCATACATTGCAGCTCACCCAAACATAAATATATATGACAGTCCCACACTGTTCATCAATCCAACTAAATATCAATCACTCAACTAAATAAATATATATATATATATATATATATACACACACACACATACACACACACACACACACGCATGTGCACACATGCACTTACATTTAATAACATAGCAATATACATGGTAATATACAATGGTAATAACATGTACAAGTGTAACTATATATAAATCAAATTTAAACACAGAATTAATGTGGAAGAAAAATAGAGCTAAGTTTTCAAATTTTGAATTTGAGAGTACTATTTGAAAAAGCGATGATGTCACTGGGACATAGAGGAGTTACAGGGAGTGAAAGAAAATGAGAAGACTTTAGTGAGGACGAGTGAGGAAAGTCGGGAGATATAAGATGGCAATTGATGCTGCATTTAAATTTTTGGAGAATGTAGGTGGCAGGAGAGCAAAAGATCAGAAGTGAGTTCCACAGGTGAGAAGTGTGAGAAAATACTATTAGAATGGAACATTCTTTCTTTTATTCATATTGTCTTTACAGATATATTTTACTTTATCTGAATTTTACACACACACACACAATATTTTTTTGGTTATTTGACCTCAGTTGAGATCATAATTTCCATAACCCCAACATCACAGTTAATTATAAATTTCAAAATCTTTTGCATGGCTGTAATCATATGTGTCTTGCCAGGGTTACATACAGGTTTTGCATTCAGAGTTCTATTCTTATAATGCTTGTCAACACTACTGCTTTGATATTTAATCCATAGCTGGGAGAAGAAATTCATATTTTTTCTAAGGGTATTTGTGTCAATGTAATGACCTTGATTGAAACTTGGTTAGTTGATTTCTTTTTTTGTACTGTTAACCATCATCCTACTTGTAGAGCTATATATAATATATTATTTGTCATATGTACTGTCATTATTAAGCAAAGAATGGAAATTACAACAATAATGCAAAATTTTAAAATAAATAAAAGTGAATGTAATAATTAAAATAAAAAATGAAAAAATATGTAATATATGAAAAAAATGGAAATAAAAATAATTTCATGTCTGTTTTTTCAGGTGATTTCTCAAGAAGTCGGTGAAGGTTTTAATCTGCACAGTTTAATATCAGGTAAAAGCACATGGAAAGGCAGAACGCAACAAATTATCACTTTACAGCAAAAGGTAACCATATAAAAAATAACAACCAAAACAACTGATTCAATATTTATGAAAGGGTGCTGAAATGTTCATGGCCTGACCAAGAAAAAGAAAATCTGATTTTTTAGTTATTTGGTCAAACTGTAGGAAGTAGGTTGGCCCAAGAACTTTTCAGCATCCCCTCAAAATAAAGTTAGTGTCAAGAGAGAACATTTTCTGAAACAGATGTAAAATACTCAAGTTAAATACAAATTTTTAATTTTTAAAATCTTTTGTTTGACATTCTAAATTTCAATTTGTGCACTCTTCTCATGACTTTTCTTCCTTCAATACTTTTAGACTTCAGTAATTTTTCTTTATACTTTCTTGTCTTTCTGCCTTTGATAAATCTTCTTCCATCTTTTTAACTTTTCTTTATTCTTCCTTTTCTTTCAGTCTTTGATAAATCTTCTTCCATCATTCTAATTTTTCTTTATTCCTCCTTTTCTTTCAGTCTTTGATAAATCTTCTTCCATCGTTCTAATTTTTCTTTATTCTTCCTTTTCTTTCAGTCTTTGATAAATCTTCTTCCATCTTTCTAATTTTTCTTTATTCTTCCTTTTCTTTCAGTCTTTGATAAATCTTCTTCCATCTTTTTAATTTTTCTTTCTGCCTTCTTTTCTTTCAATTTCTCGTGTCTCTTTCTTCATTTTGCATTCCTTTTTTCCTTCAGTTCCCTCTTTCTTTTCTCCTATCTTTAATTGTATCTGACACTGCCAGGTGCAGCTATTAGGCTAGAATTAACTACAATGCATCTGTCTTCTCAAGTCTCTGAATTAGCTCTAGCCAAATGAAGAAATACTAAAAGATGAAAGTGTTTCAGTTTCATCCGTTGTATTTATCTATATAATGAACACTAAGAAAATACTCCCAGCTATGGGTAAATAGCAGGATAGACCGGTCTACCACAGAAAGAAATTGCAATCTACTGCAGAAAAAAATCTGCCGTGTCAGTCATGTATTGAAAGATACATGATCGCCTAAGCGTGTATCGTGCATGGCACATAACTGACTAAGGAAAATACTATAATATTTATGATCTGGCTTACAATTTCATGCAAAAAGTATAAATTGATACACAATACTGGTTTTAAAAACTTAAGAGAAATTGGGTTATTTAATTAATGTTGAATAACCAATTATTGTTGGCCAAATATTCAACAAGTCTTTATAAGGCTTATTGATTGCCTATACACCTGGTAATAATGTCTAATCATCAGAATTATCTTAAAGCCAGTATTAATAAGTGAAGGTTTGACATCATAATGCAATATTATGGCTACCAGTACCAGTCTGTTTTCCATCATGTTGATATCACTATACTTCATATAAGTGACCATTGTCAAGGCTAACAACAGGTGTAACAGCTTGTTACTCCTACTGCCCAGACATGTTAGTGGAATTGGAATTTACTTAATTATTTATTCACTCAGTTACTTTTCCATTAACCATGATGATATTCCAATGATGATTACAAAGGATGAAATGATAATGATGAGACCATTTCTATTTATTAGCATGGTAGCTAGAAGAGAATTTGTATCTTTCTGTGAAGAGAATACAAGTAGTTTTATCTTTTTTTATATTTATCCTTTAGCACTATCCATTACTAATATTACTTCCTTTTCTACTGCATTCTTTTTCAAGACATCTCAATTGCAGTATCCTTATTGTTAATTTCACTCAAAATTGTTTTCTGTTGCCATAGCAGGATATGACGACATAACTATGATTCAGGGATCAGAGTCACTTTCAGTGGCAGGATAAACTTTTTGTACATCAAATGAAATCACATATAGAGTGATAAAGGTTAATAAATAAAACAGACTTTTGTCAATAACTCAATTCTGTATGAACTTGAAAATGAATAATAGTCATTTAAGTTTTGCATAGCTGTAATTAGCACTTATTTTTTTTTTTAATCAAGTTCACTCAGTAAAACCACTGAGATACAAGAGGTTATTGGGTGTGGAAGAGTTAGAAGCAGGAAAAATTGTTAGGGAGCAAGAACAGAAGAAGAGTAATCAGGAGGACAGTAGATAGTGATTGACATTACATTTAAACTTTTGCAGATTAAAGTTGGGTGGAAAGCATGTAGCCAAAAGGGAGTTCCACATGTGAGAAGTGCAAGAAAAGAAACTGTTAGCATAGAATTTACAGTTACATCCAGGCAGCTCAACTGTAAATTGATGAGACCTTTTTGTCAGTTTAGTACTACACTTAAATTCAAAATCTAGACACCATAGGGAAGAGCTCAATTGAGCAATTATCATGAAAGTATTTGTGGGAAAGTGACTGAAGCCAAGATGTTAGATTAGGGCCAATAATATGCTGGATTTTTTCAGTTCATATATATATTTTTTGTTCTGATTCAAGAATT